TTCACTTAACAACTAGGTCACTAACTTACAACTTCAGTGAATCACTTAACAGGAGCAAAAAAGGTTGTAAATGGGGCAAAATCCACTTAACAAATATCTCACTTAACAACATAAATTTGGGTCTAAATTGTGGTCGTAAGTCAGGGACTACCTGTATATATAAAAATATACATATAAATTGCTAGCAGTTATTTCCAAATTTTGGAAAGGTCTGTACATATTCTACCTCATCTCTGGCAGATCATTCTTATTTGCTGTTGTTGCTGTTTATTCAATGTGTTTGAACAGGTTAACATCCTGTTTTTCTGTCCGTACAGCACTCAAGGTAACTTCAACTTTAATGAGTGGATTCTTTAAAGAAGCCACAACTTTTTTTGTCAGGCTCAAATAGTAAAGTGACCAGTCACCCTCCTTTTAGGGAGGACAGTCCTTCTTCTGTAAGTTCTGTCCTCTCTCAAAAAGTGTCCTCCTACATGTCCTCCTTTTCGATATTTGAAGACTAATCTGTAAATCTCCATATTCGATCAATGCCGATCCGATCCGTTATGTGTGATGTGACGTATTTGTATTTGACATGACAATTCATCAAGGCTCGCTACAGTGCGGCAAGACGCGATTATGAGACACATGTGCTCCACAAAGGAGAATTGTTTTGAGAGAGTGTGCCACGCGCAAGTGGCTTTGTTTACTTCTTACCAAAACATGACACAGCACACATGCATGCCTTTTTCTTCAATTTATTTGTATCCTCCTTCTCATTGTAAAAAAGTTGGTCACCTTACAAATAGAGGCTTCTTTCAAGTTGTGATAGCAGTAGCACCTGAGTGTGAAGCATTTTTTGGGGGGTGGGGGCGTTTCAAAGGGTGCAGAACAAGTCAGAGGTGGGCTGCACTTTCTTTAAGAAAGGGTTCGCTGGTTGTGAGCGCGCACACACGTGCCCCTTTGGGAGAGAAACAGAGCTTCAAACAGGCTCTTAATCAGCTCAGGCAGCTCCAGTGAGAACAGCAGGGGCAGTACGGAACGCAGCTAGGCCAACCAATGAGCCAGAAACTAAGTTATAAAGGGATAGCATAGAACAGCGGCGGGTGGGCGGGTCCAGCCAGCAATCAGAGCTAAGGGTTTGCCCGAACCCTTGCAACCATGCAGCAGCCCACCACTGGAACAAGTGCTATTTCGGCCATTGAAAGATTCTCTAATACAGAGGTGCCAAACTCAAGGCCTGTGGGCTGGATCCAGCCTGCAGGGTGCTTAAATCTGGCCCATGAGGCCAGCCTGGAAATAGCAAAGGACTGGCCCGCGGTGCCTCTGGCAGCTAAAACAGGATGTGTGCCCCCCACCCCATTTTTGGCCTGGATGGCCTCCTGCAGCATTCTGCCAGCCAAAACAGGGCATGGGGAGGGGCCCCCCATACCCCTTTTTGACTGGCAGGGTGCTGCAGGAGGCCGTCCATGCTGAAGACGGGGCACGGGGGCAGCGTGTCCCCGTTACACACTCCATTTTGGCTGCCATGGTGCTGCAGAAGATATCCATCCCATCTCCACACACGCCGGCCGGCCCACGGAGGAGAAATACAATGCTTTTCCAGCCCTCAAAGAAATCCAGTTTGACACCCCTGCTTTAATATGACTGCAGCCTGGTGCTAATTGCAGCTGCTCAAAAAAATGTCATGGAGAAGTGAATGAGCAGATACATCTGTTATTTTTCCTAATGACAAAAGCTGATAAGGACCCTTGCATTAGATATTTATAGAATTTAATATCTGTATATTTGCAGCCAGAGTCAGAGATCTTGATAGTCTAAAACAGTTTAGATGCTAGCGTGAGAAGAATGACTTAGGAGGAATACTTATTGTACGCTAGCATTAATGTTAAAAAAAAAAGTTCAGGTCAATTGAACGGTGTATTTGCTCTTTCCATGTGTTCTATCAGCCTATGAATTTCACGCATTCAATAGAAGCTACCCATTTGTCCCTCGTTGCCCTTGTCAGCCAAGCAGATGAGACAAGAATCAATTTTATACCTGTGGGATGTGAGGCTACTACGAGCATGTTGTCATAAAGCATCTTTTGTCTTGCTAAAGAAGATGATGGCAGAAGAAGGCCCTGCAGAGAAGAGGATTCTAATCATTCAGCTACAGAACAGTCTCATCTTCTTTGGTGACAGATGCCACACAATTTGCATTTTGGAATTTCATCTTCCCCGATCTAATACTGTGACTGCTATTTATTGTAAAGTTTCATTATGCTATATTAGCCAACTTCCAAACAAATAGGAGGAGCGAAATACAAAGCCATCTGTCTGGGGCAGAAGGGATTGGGTCTCTGTTTCAGGTCTCTGTTTCGCATAACATAAGATTTAGGTAAAGTCACAGGGCAGATGAAACAGTAAAGCGATCTCCAGCGGTTAGGGTTAGCCTGTGCATTTCCTCTCTTTTCTGATGCCTTTTCTCAGATCAATAAAACAGGTGGAGGCTTCAGATAGTGCTTACTCATAGACTGTTTTGTACAGTACAAGTGAGTTGAATCACAACCACAGAAACGGTCTACTGTATTAATGTTTGTATGTTAATCAGCTAAAGCTAGTTTAGCATTAATTATGAGAAACTTAAGTAAAACTGCAGCAAGCACCAAAAACAGACAGCATCACCCCAAAATGAAGCATGTCAAAGGTGGTTATTATTTTGAGATCATCAAAAAAATCTCAGAAATGTGGGATAGAAGGGGACCTCAAATATGCCAGAAAAAAAGCAGAGTTCCTCACATATTAAAATTTTTTCCGAACAGTCCTTCAGACCACTGGAGGTAACTTATTCCATAATTTAAAAAAGCATATTACTCTACCCCCACCCACATCTTCAGTCTTACATAGGGAACAGCCTTGGTAGTACAGTAGTCTAAGGCACCCTGTTATTAAGCTGGTTATTAAGACCAGCTGCCTGCAATTACTGCAGGTTCGAATCTCGCCAAGGCTCAAGGTTGACTCAGCCTTCCATCCTTTCTAAGGTAGGTAAATTGAGGACCCAGTTGTGGGGGCAATAAGCTGACTTTGTATAAATATACAAAAAGGATGAAGGCTATTGCTGAGCACATTGTAAGCCGCCCTGAGTCTCCAGAGAAGGGCGGCATATAAATCAAATTAAAAAAAAAACAAAACAGTGGTGAAATGCAGCCAGTTCTATATGGCTCGGACGAACCGATAGCGCTGGCGGCGGGAGGCTCTGCCCACCCACCTGGATGTCATCACGTCCCGTTTTTTACGCTCTGTGCATGTGCAGAAGGTCCTGCACATGCGCAGAGGTGTTGCAAGCGAGCGAGCATGCACACATGCTCCCATTTACGAACTGGTAGCGAAGGTAAATGGATTTTCACCCCTGATAGGGAACATTCTTGGCCTACCCATTTGAGATGAATGAATTGGATGATGGGTTCTGGTGAAGATTCCTAGAAGTCAACTATATCAGATATAACTCTTGGGTAGATTTGAAAGACAGCATCGTGTTCAACACATTGTGGTAATATAGCTAAGAGGTTATGGGGTAACAGCTCCCAGGGCATCATGCTTCAGGATGATGGTACACCAGTGAAAATTAGTCAAAGACCTTCCACACTATCTAGCAGTACTTGTAGGAGGACCTCTAAGGCAGATCTGCTATCTTAAAATGGGCTTCCCAATCCAGAATAGTACAATGCCAGATGGTTTCTGGGGAACAGCACTTTAATCTTCCAGGGATTCGATCTCAAAGTCTAGCAGCTTCCAAGCTCCAGGCCAGGACTTCCAGTATATCTGTGTCATCCTGGAAAGTGATTTAAAATTAGGTATAACTGTGATCCAATGAATGTCTTCGGCATGGCTTTACATCAGTGTAAAATAATGTGGGGTGAGAGAGATGAACCCTGAGGCACCCCACAAGTTATCTCCTTTTCTCCCCTATTGCCCTTGCCCACTCAGGAAGAAACAGAACAGCTAAGAGCAGTGCCCCACCTTGCAAATGATCCAGAATATATCCTGATTAATGGTGCTTAAAACAATGCATGTTATTCACCAGAGAAATCCAAACAATTTCCTTCTCTACCCTGGCAAGAATCCTGACTGAAAAGATTCAGACAATCAGGTGCAACATATACTTGGAGCTCTGCCACTATCTTGGTAACTTTCTGGAGACCCAGCAATAGTTATCAAGATTGGTGAGGAGAGTGCATCTTTGTATGTACTCAAATAGATTCCACTTATTAAAAGGGTATTTTACCTCATTATTGAAATTTCCAGGGAAATATACAGGTGCTTTCCCTTTTTGGATACATAGAAATCCATCTAGGAAAGCATCAGGTCCCCACTTGTGCCCAAAGGGTCTATCCTAGCTACAACACAGTTGTATTACAACAATTGTATTATATACAATACAGTTGGATAACTAAATTCCTCAGCTAGAACTTCAGGAATCCAAACTCCTTGTTTGTTCCACCCTTTAAAGGAAAACAACCTTGATGTTTCCATCACAGACTGGCTAATGGATTTTTGCTCCTTTATCATGGGTTTGCTGAGAAATAAGGCTGTTTCATGGATGGATTGGTCCTGAATCTGAAGTAAAATCTCAAGCTCAATCCTTCTATGTGATTTTCCTGCTCACAATATGGGAGTGGTTTGTTTTTGTGGTCTTAAATATAAGGGTTTTTTCCCCCCGAATTCCCAATTTGACTTTCCTGGTGGTGTGATATCCAAACACTAACCAATTCCGACTGGCTTAGCTTGTGAAGATCAGCCAAGGCCATGAGATTAGAAAAAGACCTAATCAAAATATAAAATGGTACTGTGTATTAAAGAAGAAATTGAAATTTTTGCTAAATTATTATTGTTATTTAATAGTAACAGTACTATTAATGGAATACCTGTTTCCATTAGTAAATAGATATTTGGGGACACAATGAGAAAACAAGAAATGAAGGAAAGAAGAGGACACATTTCACATGCTATTGTTTTTATTTTCTTCTTTCCCCCTTGCAGAAATGGAAGATGAAAGGTAGCTTCATCCAACATTTTGTCAGTGGCCTATGCTTAGAAAATGAGTCCAGCAGATTAGTGACCAACATCTGTCAGTCGGATATTCTGGGTCAACAATGGGAGCTGCTCCAAGCCACATGATGGTTGCCCAGCATCTTTTGGTTCTGATACTTTTTGCATGAGACTCTGGGAACGGAAGGGGCTAGGGTGGGGTATGAATTCTGGTTTTCTTTAAACCTAAATGTTTTGACTATGATCCTCAGCCAATAACCATTTCAGATGAAATGTCACTGTTTTTGGATTTATGTTAAAGAAGAAGTCGAAGCTATATGGCAACATCAGTCGAAATGGCCCATCTTGTCCCACTTTGAGTAACAGTGGGAAATGGGTGTGGAAGAATCTGTCTCAGTAACCAATATGTGTTTAAGCCTGACTGATAGCAGTTCCCTTCCATTCCTTTGTCTCCAGAGAAACCTGTGGTCTATGATCCCATGGAGTTGCTGCAGTTGATGTCTGTGACTATATGCTTGATGTGAACTCCTGATGAGTTTGCTTGATTTCAGACATGTCACCTCTCATTTTGCATGTGTGTCATACTGTTTGATTTATGGAAAGGATGGCAAGAAAAGGGGGCGGGCTCGGTTATGGAAATGCACATCATTGAGGGAAATTGAGGCAGAGGTAAAGCTTTTTTTGTTTTTGTTTTCTGAATGTGTTTGATTACTGGAGCAGATTGAAATCATCCCTTCAGAGAAAGGGCTCCTTGGTATCTCTGGCAGGTAGGATTGATAAAACTTCAAGAAGAAAGCTAAACTAGTCTTCATCAAGAAAGATACCTGGTATGTTTCTTATGCTTTAAACCTGAAGCACAGAAATATTGTTAAAAAGTACACAAACAAAGGCTCCCTTTTTCTACCCTCTGGAGAGAACACACATTATTTCCTTCTGCTTTCATCAATATGTGCTTGGTGTACAATTGTGGGGAAAAGGCAGCTCATGATAACAATTCTGTATTTTTGCAAACACAGCTTGGGCTGATGGCCAAAGGGTCAACTTGTGCTTGTATTTTTCCACTCAGTCCTTTTAGGTTAATCAAAATTGGATTTCTTTCTAAGGGCCTATCACCTATTTCTCAGCCTAGTTCTGTCTGGGGAATCTTTTGGAGCCAAGCCCAAAACAAAGCTCTTTTTCCTTATGTGTGTATGTGCTCACTGAAAAACAAGAACCTAGACTGTTAGCCAAGATTCTCACAATAATTCCATATCACCCAGTAAAGTGCAAAGAATGTGACCCTTGATGCCTTTACTGATGGCAGAATGGCAGTGCTAACTCTGAATTCATTTAAGAAAGCTATTTTTATGAACATTTGTTTGGGAATCACAGCTGAATAGATCAGAAGGAGTCTGGTAGCATCTTTGCCAACTAATTAATTATGTTAAAAGGCATAAGTTTTCAGCTAATGCAACTCACTCTATCATAATGCATCTGATGAAGTAAGCTGCAGTTCACAAATATTTATACCTTTTAATAAAATTGGTTAGTTGGAAAAGGTGCCACCAGATCGCTTCTGGTTTTTGGCTACCATAGACTCACACATCTCTCTTCTTACAAAGTCATCTGAATAAAGTGAAAGTTATTTCTAAATAAATGCACGCAGGATTAAACTAAACATCATCTGTATGTCAATGGATCTGAGATTGACTACATTGGTTAAGCATCAGCAGAATGTCAGCCTGTTTACCAACTGATGAAGCCATATGCCAAGATATTAGGTCTTAGTTATCAAATCTGAATTTGAGACAACATACTTGATGGGCCTTTTCTGTTAGTTAATTGTCAAAATATTATGCTCTCTTCCACTCTGATTTGAAATATGAAAGTAACAGAAGATGTAAGCTATACTTAAATGGCCATTATTACTCTAATCAATGAATTGGTCATTTGCACAACAGGAATACTCTCTGCTTGTCAATCATCTCCAGTATTTAAAAAAACCATTCCCATATAGACAAAAGTAACATCAGGATTACTCCAACAATATCTTTAGCTGCAAATGTGAAGGATCGATATCACTAAACCTTAAGAAAGTCCTCCCCTAAGCACCTAATTATTTCTAATGGGTTATATTGGACTGCATTTTGGTGACCTGAAAGCAGCTCTTCAGCCCATTTCTGGGAGAAAATATGAAGAGTTTAGGAGGTTTTTCGAAGTAGTAAAATACAGTTTATGGAGACTCTCAATATTGTAAGATCACTCACTTTGTATAACTTCTGTATTATATGTAGCAAAAACTGAAAACTTTCCTTTAATGTAAGAAACGGTTTGACAGTTACAAAGATTTGAATGTTCATATTATTTATTACGAATGGCATCTTGTATATATCTACCCAGAATAATAAATTCAAGGGAATTTAATACCCAAGAAAAGAGTACAGAATTGCAGTGTGAGGGCATTTTAGGAGTGCAGATAGACAGGTCGTTCCTATCACCACCAATGGAAAAAAAATTGTGAATCAATCCTTCTGTGGACAACAGTTTGATAATAAGAAAAAAAATGTGGCAATGACAGTAGAAAGAAGCAAGGAGGCTACAACTGGAAGACGTGTCATCTGATCCCCTGTAATATTTGGTGAACTGATTATGTGCTATCAAATCATTTTCGACTCCTAGCAGCCACATAGATTTTCTCCATGATAATGTATCCCTACTCTGTTCTTTAAAGTCTCCCAATGGTGCACTCTTTGCCACTGTAACTGAGACCATCTACCTTGTTACTTAAAGGTGAGGGATTTGCATAACAAAATACTCCAGATGTTACATCTGTTTCTGAACTAGATATTTTAAGATGCCTGGGTTTCAATAACAGCCCCAGCCTGGGAATCCCATCCAGTCAGGATGCTTCTAGGTATTTTCTATTGTGCAGTAACCAAATATTCCCAGAACATTTTTCAGTGGGGTTGTATTGTGTTGGTTAAGGGAGCTCAACCAATCTCATTGTACATATGTTGTGCATTGACAATAAAGATTTGAAATTGAAAATTGGGGGGTGGGGGTGGAACCAGTGGTGTGATTCAAATAATTTAACAACTGTTTCTCTGCCCTAATGACCAGTTGGGTAGGCATTTCTCGGTGGTCGTGTGATTGGGTGGTTGTGGCCAACTCGACATCACTCATGATGAGGGGTGCTTCGCCTCGCCAGGCCTCTCATAATGCTGCAAATTGGAAAACGGTCATAAGTCACTTTTTTCAGTGCCATTGTAACTTTGAATGGTCACCAAATGAACGGTTGTAAATCAAGGATTACCTGTACAAAAATACAAAAAGCTTCTTTGCTTGCAAAAAGCTGCCCTAAATACCAATGATTAGATTAGAAATACCTGCAAGCCAGAATTATAAATCAGAAAGGGTGTCAGAGCACCTTGAGAAATTAAAATAGTTAAAATGCAATGATAACTATCAGCAGCCAACTCTTGCTCATAAAGTGAAATCCTTTAGCAGAGAGGTCATTTAAATTCTCCAGAAAGTGGGTGGGCATATTTACAAAATGCTGAGCTAAAGAGACAAATTAACAAATTATATAGGGGACCCAGGTCCAAGTCTCCCAAGCTTTTCAGGATCACAATAAAATTAGTACATGCCACAGATTTCTAAATAAACTTCAAGCCTGGTGCCATGTTACTAAGCCTTATTATCATGAGAGAAAACTAAAATTAATTTGAGGATCTACAACCCTAACTCCTTTTTTAAATCTTACTATCAGTGAGCAATCATATGCCTTGGCCATTCCAAAGCAATGCAAGAGACTCCTGTCTCAAAGGTGCTTTTTCAAGAGGCAACTGGACTTTCTGGAAACCAAGAAAGTCCAGTTGCCTCTTGAAAAAAGCACCTTTGGGACAGCCATGACCTGGATGACTGAAGAATCGCCATAGACAAGAGACACCTGTGCTCAGTGAACTGACAAAGCATCCTTTCACACCCAGGAGAAGCAATCCTTAGATTCATTTGCATTACTTAAAGATACCAGCTGGTCTCACCTCACAAGATATCCAAAGGAAATCATCCAGATTTAAGGAAAGATCACATGCCCACAGAAAGGCAGTAAAAAAATCAGTGCCAAGCTTGCATCCTGCCTCTTGGAAGTACACCCCAAAAGGACAGTGCCAGGAACCACTAAAGCAGTGTAAAAAACTTAAAACAATCCTTCCCCTTTAAGAAAGTCAAGCCCCTAATAAGGCAAAGAAAAGCAAAGTACCAGCAAAGAAAAAAAAAACCCTCTGGGGAAGCTTAGGCAACAGAAAGTCTGGGCATACTGCCAAGAACCTTTAGCTGTTTCAATGTAATAAGGCTTAACCGGAGAGGCAGTTTCTGTAAGCAGAGCAATAAAGATAAGGATTAGGCTAGAAACAACACCAGAATGTTTCCTTCCTGCCTTCCTGACAGAATTAGCTCTGTAAAGTGGAAAAAAACAAAAGGCTTTTGGAAGGAGATTTCTTCCAACAACTGGTTCTCCCAAATAGGTGCAAACCAGCTGAATCACACCACTGGGAGGAACCAATATAAAGAAAATGAAAAAATTCTATTAAACCTTTCAATGAATAGCATTAACAGTAGCAAAAAGAAATCCTAGGAAGATGACGGCAGCAAGCACTGATTTCCAGATTCAGAAATATTTTCAAAGTGATGCTTCTCTTATATATACAGTATAAAGTTTATTGTCATTGTACATATATACACAGTATATCCATACAACAAAATTCACATAACACCCAGAGACCAAGGCCAACACACATGACAATTCCCAGACACACCCCCACCCACCAAAAATTCCCCACCCCTAAACCACCCAAGCATCCACACAGCAGACCAAGTAATGCTGTCCAACAGCTCACTGATGGTGGCCCTTCAGTTCATTGTTGAGTGCAATTAGAGCTCTGGGATAAAAACTATTCAGAAGACGGGTGGCCCAAGTTTTAATTGTTCTGTATCTTCTGCCAGATGCTTAAGAGCATAAGGTGATGTTAGGAGGAAGTATAAGATTAATTCTTCCTAACGTTATTTTCACTCAGAGAAGGGCATTCTTAAGTCTATGGCCCCCATATGGTTCTTAAGCCCCCTTTTATTGCAGTCCCCAGAATGTGTGACACTGAAATATAGCACCATGAATTCCTCCTGGATGTTTGGACAGAAAATACTAAAAGATGCTCAAGGTTTGTTTAAATTTATCTTAGTAAAACCAGAAACAACTTGTCTTAAATAGCTTGGAAATCTTGGTTTGATCAAGCTATTCACCAATGTCACATTCTAAAGTCTGTATATGCCAAAAGGTTGCCAATTTTGCTTCAGAAAGAGACCTCTCAGACACACATTTATACTCATGCTTGCAAATGGTGTTACTTGCTAGTTTGAAGGACATTAATCCAAGCGGAAGATAAGGATGGCTGGAACATAGGCATCCACAAAAAGGATGATGAAACATGGATCATAATGTCAACTCTGTCTCTTACATTTTTGTGTGCAATGTTATACAATACCAAGAATATATCAGCATTGTAATGTCACAATACATGTTTTGCCACTTTGGTCTATTCATGGTCAGATATGGACCCTGGTGGGCTGAAGTATGACCATTTGGCACCACTTGCTAAATTCAATGTGTGCGGTTCTCCTCCAGCGTGTCATGAATCACAAACATAATGAGAGCTGCAGAGCAAGATCCAGTATTCTATTTTGTACATGCCATAGTCTGGTCAAAAAGGGAATGATTGTGTGAAGAATTTCAACCTGCAGCTATGGACAGACACTGAGGTAGGCAAAACCTGGAGCCAGCAAGCATTCTTACTGTAAATTGCTGTATTGAGGAGCAAAGTCAGCCATAAAACACTCCTATGTTAAAAGGCAGAAGGTGTGCTTAATCTCCAGGGCTCTTATTTTATTTTATTTTATTTCCTGGGCAGATGAGCAGACTCTCAAACTTGGCACTATGGCTCAAATGTCAAATCTGATTTTCTAAAGATACCAATATGGGGTCTAGAAGTGTTCATGTAAATTGAGATTTTGCTGAAGGCTGGTGCCTTGAACATGACAGCTTGCCATTTAATTTTTTAAAAATTATTATTAAAATCAGATGGTTTAGGGAGCCTAGGGAGTATCAAGAACATCATCTGTGGGTATGCTCATGCTCAAGGACATCACACTGCCTACTTCAGGACACAATATTTTCATCAATGACTCATCAATATTTTTTTGCCATGCTTTTGAAAATTAAAACTCTTTAGCTTGTAAATGGAGCCGAACAAAGAACAATGACTTGATTGCAAGAAAGCGGGTGGAGGAAGAATAGTGGGTTTATAAACAAATGAATTAATAAAATGTCATCCACTATCCACTGAATGGGCAGGATAGAGAGTTATCAAGATCTACTGAACGAGGCTCCAAAATGAAATTCCAAATATTTTTGGAAGGGTTTGTATTTTTTTCCCCTTCTTCTTTCATTACGAACACACTTTGTCAAAAGTAATTTATGTCAACATATTTTTCTTCCCTTTTTAACCAAAGCATGTACCAGAATTTGTCTGTTAAGATGCTAGAATAAACTCCACTTCTAAAAGTTATGTTTCTTGGCCTTCATTTGCACAAATCGGCCAACCTTCGCAAGCTTTAGGATTGCACCTAAGATTATCTCCAGCATCACTCAGACGATGCTTTTCCATCAATCACCTAGAAGAACTAGAAAAGTAGTCACAGAAAGTACTTAATTTAATAGCATTTCCTACCTGCATGAGCAAAATCTCACCCTAACAAACCCGAAAGGCGTTCAGGAAATTCTCCTTCTGTCTGCAATTGATCTTTCATTAATCTACCTTATTCCTTTCTTTGAAATTGCTTAATTAGTTGCTTCCTGTTCACTGTGTTGTGATTAATTAATCTGTTCCTGTTCTCTGCACAGGAAACTTTAATTACTGTTTTCCCTTAGCAGCAAGAGCAACTATTGGCGAAAGTTTATATTCCTATTGTTTTTGGTATTAGAACGGTAAAGATTAACGTGTCAGAAAAAAAATTATACAGGCTCGTCTTAGAAATTTGCCTTTCTAGCAAAAAGTACCTTAGTAAATTGAATGAATCATATAGTAAGTCTGGAGAGGTTTGAAGCCATCAAGGGAATAATTTTTCTCCTCTTTTTCTTTCCTGGCAACACTGAGCTTTTTTAATTATTTATAATTATTAGGATCAAATGGCTCTACAGAGGTATAGCCTCTCAGTTCAAGAGATACTGCCAACAACTTGCTGAGAATTAAAGAAAAAACTAGTTATTGCAATGACCACCTATTTCTGGTTGGAATCTTCAGGAAGGTCAGAAAACAATTTTTTAAAAAATATTTAAAAATCCTCATAAACTAATTGCTCTATGGCAGTGTTTCTCAACCTTGGCAACTTGATGATGTGTGGACTTCAACTCTCAGAATCCCCCTGGCTGGGGAATTCTGGGAGTTGAAATCCATACATCGTCCACAAGCTATCAAGGTTGAGAAACACCGGCTCTATGGAATTTGTTGCCACAAGGGCTGGTGTCTATTATATAGTTTTAAAACTTAAATTAGACTATTTCATGAGAAAAAGGTTCTCTCCATGAGGGCTGTGGAATCTCCATGGCTAGAGAAGATAATATTTGTTTGATCTGTAACCCATCTTTTCACTTGCAACATCCAAGGCAATTACTGAGTATCAAAAATTGGACCTTAGCTATAAGTTTTTAATTTTTACTTGCTGTTTTCTCAGAGATATCTTTTTGATCATTGCAAGGAAGTTGAATACAAAAAAACTAGTGACTGCATGGTCTAACCTTAATGTGTTGCTTCTATTATATATGGTTACAGACATAATTATCCCGAATGTTGATTTTTACTTTTATTCATGGTTTCAGTGGGTATCATTGAATAAGAAACTAATTAACTATCGCTGTAATATTTCCATGGAAACCAATGCAAAGCATTCTGCAATGCATCCTGGGAACTAAGCCATTGTTCCACTAGATGAAGATTCAATACAGCCATGTATATAATTAAGGTCTGTACATGAAGTTTTTTTAAAAAAATTCAGCTGCTTCCTGCGCCAATTTCAAATACCTCTTCCTTTCATTTAAGGACCCTATGTTGGGTTTTTTTTCCCTATTTCTTGTTCCATCTAGATGTGCTGGTTTCTCTCTTAGAGAATTTCAGTGGCTTGTCAAGGGCTTTCTTTCTTTCTTTCTTTCTTTTATTTTTTCTTTGATTTGATTTGTATACCGCCCTTCTCCAGCAGGACTCAGGGCTACTCCCAATGATTTAACAATTGCAACAAAAACTACAAACTATCATGAAAAGTCTGTAAATTCAATTTTGGGATGCAATAAATTCCCCCAGACCAAACATATGATCAGGGGCACCTTGCTCCCTGGTCCTATCCATGCAGTCTTCAAATATTACTTTGCATCTAATGAACAGCCTCTAGAATTGTTGCAAGAAAAGCAAGATTCTAAACCTGGGTCAATCCCAGTGGTGAAATTCAACTGGTTCTATATGGCTTGGGCGAACTGGTAGCGCCAGCGGCGGGAGACTCTGCTCACCCACCCAGACGTCATCACATCCTTTTTTTTAACCCTTTGTGCATGCCCAGGTTTTCTGCTTTTATCCATACAGTACAAGATTCATTGGCCCTCTTAATCTGGTATTCCATCATTGTCTAGAACTATATTGCTGATTCTTCCAGGAATAAAAAGTAAGCGATGTAACCAGTCTATTCTAATGTAGATCTTGGGAATAAGTCCTTAGGATTTTTTAAAAAATCTCTTTGAGGAATGGAATTTTATGAACGTTAAGGCAACCCTTCCATACTGGTTCTCTTGAGCTACTTGGACTAAAAGTCTTCTCTCCACCAGGCAGACATTAAATTGGGACAGATGACTTAAATAAAGGTCACCCATCTAATCAGAACTGGTCTCCTGCACATTTTGAATTTTATCGCTAACACAAGCGGATAAAATAAAATCTGCAAGTAAAAGGCACTGGCATTTAGAACAGTTTTTAGCAGGACAAATTCTTTGCCTGGTTTGATCTGCAGTAGTGAGTAGCGCTCCAGGGTTTTGAGCAAGTCTCACACATTCCTGACCCTTTTTAAATTGAGATGCCAAAGAATCATCCTAGAGCCTTTGGCAGATAGAGCTTCTCCTCTGAACCATCCCAGAAATGTTCACAGACAAGGAATTTACCGGCAGTGAAAGGTTATCTTGGGACTATGGTGATTGAGGGCCACAATCCCTTGTCATTAGCCTAACCCAGTGATGGCAAACCTTTTCGCCACTGAGTGCCAAAAAGGGAGCACTTCACGCTCATCAGGGCCACAACAAGGAAGAGAGCTGCCCATGGGGCATGCGCACACCGGAAAATGAATTTCCGATTTCCGGCACGCGCATGTACGCCAGCCAGCAAGTCTTCCGGTTACTGGCATGCATGTGCATGCACCAATCAACTGACCGGTGCACATGCTCACAACAGAAAATGGAAGACCAGCTCTTCCAGTTTCCGGCACTGCCACGCGTGCAAAGGCCAGCTGATCATCGGGTGCACATGCGCATCAGAAACCCAGAAGAAGAACAGGCAACACCACTCATGCCAGGTGACATGGCTCCGCGTGCCACTTTGGGCACACATGCCATAAGGTTCACCATCACGGGCTTAACCCAAACGAATAACTCTTAAGCCCTCTCTATGCTGAGTATGCAACACCGGGAAACAGTGTGGTGAACTCCCACTATTTTGCAATAAGTCACTGATATTTTTTAAAAGGGGGGTGGGGAATATTGAGAGAGATCTAAATCTTTAGTCCTATCATTACTTTTCAAGGGGAAATCTTGAGAAGTTTTGGGCCATATAGAGAGGTGTCCCTGTACTGGGCCAAGACAATTCTGCAATTCGGATCCTTTCCGTGCACTGCGGATGTGAAAGATGGAATGCAACTCTGGGAAGATCACACTATATTTCATTGAAACAATAATAATTGGCTTCCAGCTTACAAAGACAGAGAAACAGTGAACAATAAAGAGTGAGAACTTTTATGACTATTTTGAATGGTGGGGCAAGAGACTCTAAAGCTCTCTGATTTGCTTTTGGGATCTTGGGACCACATAAAGAAAACTGGTTACTGGTTAGAAAAACCAATTTATTTTTAAGGAACACTTTGCTTTCTATAGGCAGCAGGGGTGCTGGAAATAGCCGTTGTTTCTTATTAGCAAGCAGAGAAATGCTGATAGAATTAAGTGCCTATCACCTGGTTACTTTGTGTAATTTCATTATTATCTTTGCCTTAGTCAATGGATTTTCCTGACTGGATTTTCACTGGCTCTAGTCAATTTCACTCTGCCTTTGGTAATGGTGAGCAATACTTCTTTCTTTTCAGCGGGGAGAGGATTAGTGTGGGGAGGGGAGTTTTATTTAGAGGCAGGAATATTTCCTTTGGGGTTGACAGGATTAGGTAAGGTGGAGAACAGAACTTGATTCCTGTCATGTTTTCAAGATCAGGGAGAAAATGTCCTGGAAAGAAGCTCTCCTCTAATTTCAGGTGAAACCCTTTTGTCTCAGGTTTATTTCAGGCAGTCTCAAAGGTGCCAGCGAGGAACTTTATTTCCTCCATAGCATTCAGATTAGATTTTGAATGGACACCACTCAAAGCAGTGGTGGGTTTCAAACTTTTTTACTACTGGTTCTGTGGGCATGGCTTGGTGGGCATGGCAGGGGAAGGATACTGTAAAATCTCCATTCCCACCCTACTCCAGGAGAAGGTTACTGCAAAATCCCCATTTCCTCCCGATCAGCTGGGAGTCCGGAGGCAGAGAATAGATGGGGGCGGGGCCGGTCAGAGGTGGTTTTTACCGGTTCTCCAAACTACTCAAAATTTCCGCTACCGGATCTCCAGAACTGGTCAGAACCTGCTGAAACCCACCTCTGACTCAGAGTCACTCTATGAAGGAGATGGATGGTTTCTAAATATGATTAAACAAATAAATAAAATTTAGTTGCTCCACTGGGGTATAATAGGTGGTCCTCAACGTACGACCACAATTGAGCCCCAAAATTTATGTTGCTAAACATAAATGCTATGAGATGATTCTTAAGTGACTTTGGCCCATTTTACGACCTGTCTTGCCACAGTTGTTAAGTGAATCATTGTAGTTGTTAAATTAGTCAAACGGTTATCAAATGGATCTGGTTTCCCCATTGACTTTGCTTGTCAGAAGGTGGCAAAAAGTGTCCACATGACCCTGGGTCACTGTAACCGTCATAAATAGGAACCAGTTGCGAAGCATATGGATTTTGATCACATGACCATGGGGATGCTGCAATAGTCATAAGTGTGAAAAATGGTCATAAGTCACTTCTTTCAGTGCCATTGTAACTTTGAACAGTCACTAAATGAAGTAAGTCAAGGGCTACTTGTATTTATTTTGGAGTTTTTCTAGCATAGAGACATATACATGCAGGTTGCATGAATGAAACACCCCCCAAACATGCCACCCCAAACAAATGCATTGCCCCAAGAAACAAAAATCAGGATCATTATTACATCACAAAATCAGAGG